CCTGGTGGACCCTACCCTACCCATGACTGGGCGGTGCACATTGAGGGCTACAGGTTGTACAGAAGGGACAGAGAAGGGAGGAAAGGGGGAGCGGGGTTGCTCTCTATGTTAAGGAGCATTATACAACTACCCTAATCCAAATGGGATTAGAAGTGGAGAAAGTTGAGGCATTGTGGGTTAGGATACATGGAAGTCAAGGGGAAAGGGACCTGGTGGGGGGTCTGTTACAGACCACCACACCAGGAGGAAAAGCTCGACTTGGAAGTCCTGAGGCAGCTATTGGAGGTTGTACAGTCCAGGACGTGGTTGTCATGGAGCGATCCAATCCAGCTTCAGATCCAGTTGCTTCAGATGCCAGGGTTTCTGCCTCGATCTGGCTGAAGCTTCAGAGCCACCTCGGAGATCCGGCCATAGGGTATAATGGAGAATCAATGAAATATCTATAACTTTGTTGTTGTTTTTTTTATTTGGATGTATCTTGCCAGAGTAGTAGCGTCTGCTGGGAGCATGAAGTCTACCAAGTTTCAAGAAGATCAGTGAAGGGGTTTTGGGGAAACTGTACCCCAAATTCTTGAAAGGATAACTGCTGTCATGTCTATGTGTTACAACACAGTGGGGTCAAAACTGCAGGGGTGGTGGCTCTTACTGAGGCCACAAAGCCTGCCAAGTGTCAAGAAGATCGGTGCAGGGGTTTGGGGGCAACTGTACCCCAACCTGTGGACAAGCAAAACTCGTGCCATGGGTGACACTGTGCGTGTTGAGGCGCAGCGGGGTGACAGCTGCAGGGATAGTGACCCCTGTTGTGGCCATGACACCTTCTAGCTGTGGAGGATATTGGTGCAGGGGGGTCTGGGGCCCTGCACCCCTAGTTGCTGACAGGCAAAGCTCGTGCCATGGGTGCTTGTGGGACTGCCTGTCTCTGTTTTGGAGCAGCTGATTGTCTGTGTTGATTCTGTCCTCTCCTTAGTCCGGTTTTGCAGGTGCAAACAGATGGCAATTAACTGGCAACATTAGCTAGGTCCTGTGTATTGTGCTGGTCCCTGTGTGAATCATGATTGATCGGTAACCGATTACACAACAGCTTTGCAGCCAGGCCTGCAGTAGTGTTTCCCACACCTCAAGACAGATACAGTCATTCCCACAAGCACCCGTGGCATGAGTTTTGTCTGTCAGCAACTAGGGGTGCAGGGCCCCAGACCCCCCCTGCACCGATCTCCTCGACAGCTGGCAGGCTTCGTGGCCGCAGCAGGGGCCACCATCCCTGCAGTGTTGGGAAGCCTAACGAGGCCTTCACTTCAACTCGAATGTGCTGCTTCGGACCCCGAAGCATCTGAAGCTTCTCTGGATCTGAAGCTCTGTCCAAAGTCTCACACAGCCCTAGAAAACTGTTGCAGAGCACTTTGGTGCTCTGCTCCTATAAAATGGGGAAACTGCTAGAGAAAGAGCCCTAGCAGTGAGTAAGGAGCCCAGCTGTTTGTCACCAGGGCAACTAGAATAGTTAATGACCCACACCTGCTAGTGGTCAGCTGACTGAAGGGGGCAGGGCCTGTCACATATAAACCTCAGGGCTGAAGTCAGGCAGGGAGTTCCCTGCCAGCAGCCAAGGGGGCAGGAGCTCTCTCAGGGAAGAGAGGGGATGCTTGACTGCAGGAGCAGCGTCTGACACTGCTGAGGGATGGAGTATTCCCTGGTAGGCTTGAATGATGTTTTAGCAGGGCGGCTTAATTTGTGTTACAGCCCAGGGCTTGGGTTTTGTTGCTGCTTAAATACAGGTGGTTTGAGTGAGGCTATTAGGGGTTGGAGGAGGCCTCATAGGGGACCCACTGCAAAGTGAGGACCCCAGCGCCAGTGAGGGCATGGCATTTGGGGTGCACTGACCCCAGCCCCAGAGAGGGGGGCAGCATTGTGAGAAGCTCCAGGGCGGGGGGCAACATTACTGTGAGAAGCCCCAGAGAGGGGGTAGTGAGGAACCCCAGGAGAGGGGGCAGCATTGGCGAATGCCAGAGAGGGCGCAGAGCAAGACAGGGTCACGCAGGGCCCAGAGAGGACAAGGGGGCCAAATTATAACAAGGCCCTGACTGAACAACGTCAACTCCATCTGCGAGGCTTGGGGCGTGGTAAAGGGGTGGTTGGAGCCATGCATAGCCCATAAGGCTAGGGTGCCCCTGAAGCACCCATTACAGAGCGAGACCCACAAGAGGTCTGGGAGTCCATGGGGTCAGGTATTAGAGCAAACCGTGTCCAAGAGGACGTAAGGCAGCCGGTATTAGAGCAAACCGTGTCCAAGAGGATGTAAGGCAGCCTCCGATATATTTATTCTCCATCAACGACATGGCGGGCAAGAAGTGAGGGTGCCCTTTGGGCCAACTTGGCATTGGAAGGGGGCCTTGGAGAGATCACGGCCATCCTGCAGGACCCCGTGCCGTGACAAAAACAAACAAAACAATTACAATATTACCCAGGTTTAATTGTGTATTTGGGGAAACCTAGCTCAAGCTTAACTAGTAAAATTCAGGTTCAGAAAGCTATGCCTAGAGAGAAAAAGAGAAAGAGAGAGTGAGAGCTGGGATCTCCCCTTCCAAGGCACTCGGGTGTTTTGTTGACAGGCAAAGTTCCCAGCACAATCCTCGAAGGTTAAACAGGCAACAGAAAGATGGTTTCAGAGAGATTTCTCTCTCCTGAAGCACACTGTTTTCTGCTTTACAGCTTTCTTATACCCTTAGTTCACCATCTTCAAAGCATTCCTTTGTGTAAATCAAGAAGGCCCCAAGCCATAATTGACAGGGGAAAATCCTGTTGTATAAACAGTTTCAATTTAAATGAATTGCCTTTTTCAGTGACGAGGGGTTATCTGGTTTGGAACATCTCAAGAAACTGATTCACAACCACAAAAAACATAAAGTTTTAAGGAGTAACCAGACTCCTAGGAGCCAGCTTGAAATTATGATGAATATAGAAGATGTACTGGATGGGCTTCTCAGATGGCCTAGCTATGCTTGCACTGTGAAGTCAGCATAAGTGTTGTGTATTTTACCTCTTGTGAATAAGCTTCAGCTCAGAATGACTTTCAGATCTTGATGTCATCTTTGAACAGACTTAAAGGGATTGATTATTTGACGTGTTCATAAACATTGTGGGGAGGACTTCCACCAGTCATCCCGGGAAAAGTATGACAGCATTTGTGGTCGGGGCCCCTTGGCTGGACGCTGTGATGAACCCTCAACCATTGTTCAAGTGTCGCCCGTACCCGCTCTGACTCAGTCTCTTGCCTCAGCATTCCCCAACCCAGCAACCGAGTTTTCCTGAATCAAGTTTAAATAGGCCTCCCATAGTGGGACCGGGAAATGTACGGCCCGAGATTCCTATTAAACTTTCCTTCTGCTTAGTTTTGGTTAGATGAGGTGGGAGGGGAGAGGGGAGAAAAGTTCCTTTATAAACCCATCAAGCTGGGTGCCAGGGCTCCCTCAGGAACACAGAGCTGACAGGTAACAGGGTGGGCAGCTTCCGGGCCGAGACCATGATCTTCCTCCCTGCGCGGGTGCAGCCCCTGCACAGAGAGGCTTTACCTTGCTTGGGGCTTGTCATGCTGCCAAAATAACTTCATATCCCAGCAGTCCATGTTCACTGCCCTTTCTTCATGTCCTCATGAGGCCTCTGTACCCGAGAAGGGGCTGGTGCATTTGATGGGGAAATTAGATTCCCCAGTGGCCTCTGACTGATGAAGGTACAGGTAACCCAGGCCTGTGTGCTGCTGCAGACTCCCCTGAAATGGAGGAGACCCGAGATCTGTCAGCAGATGAAAGCTGCTCAGGCTGGTGGCCCAGACGAGGCTCGATCCCAGGGGCAGGGAAGGGGCGGTGGGTCTCCACTCTCCAGAGGCACGAGCACCATCCCTTGGTGCAGAAATCTCCCTTCCACAACATGGTGGAGGGGTCAGTGCTCCACAGATCAGCGCTTCTTGTTCTCCTGGTGCCCTGCAATCGTTTCACAGCCCAGGAGCAGATTGACCTTGCATTTCCCCTCCCCTGCCCTTAGCATGTGGATCTGATACGGCCCCAGCATCGCTCGAGCTGCTTTCCCAGGGAG